TCACCCTCCTAGTGAGGGGGACTAAACATAACAATTTCATCAGTAAAAACCTCTTGAGAATCACAGGATCTATGTGTCTTCTGAGTAACTGTACTCCAAAATGAGGGTAGTTTTTCAGGCCGCAAAATAAATAGGTAATGATTGCTTAACTCCTAAAATGTCTCATTGTGCTGTCTACTTTACAAGGAACCAAAAAAAAAATTTTTTTTCAGTGTTCATAGTTTGTAAAATATAATGTTGCCCATTTTGATCAGATGCCCTCCCACTCCCACTGTGATTACACTGCAGGTAGAATGTTCTGCCACTTTACAAATGAGGATGATATAAGTGACAGCGATGACTGAAAGCTTGTCAAGCATAGGCAGCATTTTCAAAAGAAACCTCACTTAAAAACTAAACTTTCTTCATAGATATGAAGCTTGTTTTTTTCCTAAAGTGAACAGTTGATAAAGTACATTTTTGTGCCAGTTTGTGATTTTGGTGAATTTATCTACATGTATTTGCCAAATGTCTACACTATACTGCCTACACTTATCTTCACACCTAATTGTATATGTTGTGTTTAAATTCCACTGTAAAATTATCAAGTTTTTCTTGTGAAGTTGTTTTCTCTCAGCCATGGAAAAAAAAAAATCCCCTGTACATATAAAGGTGTAATGAATAAATGCTCTTTGCAACTTCCCCAGCTTTTAAATGTTTGGCATATTGGATTTCTGTAAGCAATGTATAGAAAGAGGAAATAATTTAATCTCACAACAAATAAAGTTTAAACATTTATATAAGGCTTAATATCAGGTGTTTCTTTGGTAATGCCATTCTCACACAAACAGCAACCACAATATGACTGTGGAGTACATTAATTACTGTTGTATTGTGTTTTCATTAAAATGGTTTTGACTTCAGTAAATCTTCTAAAACAACTGTCATTTCATTAATAGATACAAATAGAATTAGTAAACATTTGTATGATGCTAAGGTTGAAATAAATCTAATATTTGGAAAAGTCATTTTCCTGTAATGCAAATTAAACCAAATAGAAAAGGCCCAAAACACTAATGAACACCTGCATTACCATTACATTTTTATTGCAATTTTGGACTGAACTCTGATTTGAAACAACTTTTTTACAGACTTTCTGATTTCCTGTGTTTGCAGAACATAAATGATTGGGTTCAATGTGGGAGGAAAGACAAAGGTGAGAGACAGACTTATGATCCTGGCATTTGGATGTAAATTTCCCAATGAGGCAAAGGTTATTATTACTGGGAAGAAATAAATGGCCACTAATAACATGTGAGCTGTGCAGGTTTTAAAAGCCTTCACTCTCTCATGAACTGTGGCCACTTTAGTCAAAGCATAGCCGATATATAAGTAAGTAAATACGATGAATACCAGTGGAAGCCAAAGAATAAGAAATGGTAACAAAAAACTAATGACTAAACCAGGTGTTTTATCATTGCAAGCCAGTCTGTATATTTGACCATAGTCACAGAAATAGCTGTCAATAACCACAGACTTACAAAAGGAAAGTCTTGTGAGAATGCCAGCTGCAATCAGTATAACAGTAATAACAAAGAGCCAGAAAGAGCCAATCAAAGAAAACATGAACCTGCGAGTCACCTTCACATGATAGTGCAGTGGGAAGATGATGGCTATCATTCTGTCATAGGCAAGTGCAACCAGGTTAAGAGCTTGCATTGAAAGGCAGGTGAAGCAGAAAAACATGAATGTCAAGCAGTCGTTGTAGGAGATGTAGGGATGGTCAAACAGGAAAATGTCAAGAACCTTCGGCACCAAAGCAGAGCTACCAAGCAGGTCTGTAAATGCTAGATTAAAAACCGCAATATATTTTGGAGTTCTCAGATTATGATCCAAGCATATTATTAACATCACAAGTGTGTTTCCCAGCACTGAAACTATATAAAGTAAAAAGAGAAAGACATAATAATACTTGATATCTGGGATGCCAGAAAAACCACTTATTATAAAATATGCAGGACGAACAAAGGTGATGTTTTTGTCAAGATCTGAGTTGACAAAGTTCATTGTAAAACTTATCAAAGTTCTTCTGTCTACAGCACAGTGATAGTGTAGACAGACATCCTCTTTACTGCATCTGTATCATGTTCACTTTGTGATGATGACACTCTATCAAGCTTTAACTGAAAGGAGTGGCTAATAAGAGGAGCAGGTCTCTTCATAAAAAATAGTGTCAACGCCTGATCCCCTGTGGCTATTCTATGTATGTATGCCACTTGAATACATGTCAGCACATGCACATAACAAAATCTAAAGTCACTGAATGCTCTGAAACTTAATTTTAGCATATGCTTAATTTTCTTTCAAATTTGATAACATTTATAATATTTGTCCTTTAAATTTCTGTAAACAATTTTTTGAAAGAGGCAATGATATTTCCCTAAAAACAAATAAAAAAACTGTTTAAACAATCATATGAAACACATTAACAGTTTTGTACTGCACACTGATTGAAAACAACTTTGTTACAGATTCTTTGATTTCTTTTATTGGCAGAACATAATGATTGGGTTCAATGTGGGAGAAATTGCAGAGGTCAAAGACAGATTTAAGATCCTGGCATTTGGATGTAAGTTTCCCAAAGAGGCAAAAGGTATTAGTACTGGGAGGGGGAAAAAATGCCACTAATGAAACATGATGTTGCATCCAAGCGATTCCCGGCACTTCGTCAGCAGGCACTGGGGTTGCCGGTGACTCCACCTCCGCTCACGTAGGAGCACACTCTCGGCGGCGAGGCACACCTGCTCTCAATCATCAGAGCAGTATTTAATCCTCGTCGTCAGATAATCTCTTGTTCTTCTACCGGCGACTTCACATATTTCACATCCTGGATCCTGATGTCCACTGGTATCGAACTACCCTGGTAAATTCATGTTATCCACTGTGTCAACCTGAGTGTGAATTTTTTTCTGAATTGCTTACCAAGAAGTGCTTTCTTTTTTTCTGAACTGACGAGGAGTACTTTATGTTTTGTCTGAACTGATTATCGAAGAGTGTTTCACGTTTTCTGAACTGGTTATGGAAAAGTGCTTTATATTCTTGTTTGAACTGTTACCTGGTGCCGCCTATATCTCTGTGGGCTATGCCCTCCCAATCG